GTTTCATTACAATTGTTTGTGTACCACAAATAACATATTAGCAATTGGCAAACAGGAGAATAATGTCAAAATAATGTGACAGTCCAGTTGATATACGTGTGAATTTTCTTAACACTTTTTTTTTTTTTTTTTCTTTTTGAGACAGGGTCTCACTGTCACCCAGGCTGGAGTGCAGTGGTGTAATCATAGCTCATTGCAGCCTCGATCTCCCAGGCTCAAGCCAACCTCCCACCTCAGCCTCCTGAGTATCTGGGACTACAGGTGTGTACCACCAGGCCTGGCTAATCTTTTAATTTTTATTTATTTATTTATTTTTGAGACAGAGTCTCACTCCGTCACCAGGCGCCAGGCTGGAGTGCAGTGGCACGACCTCGGCTCACTGCAACCTCCACCTCCTGGGTTCAAGCAATTCTCCTGCCTCAGCCTCCCAAGTAGCTGAGACTACAGGCGAGCACCCAGCTAATTTTTTTGTATTTTTAGTAGAGACGGAGTTTCATCATGTTGGCCAGGATGGTCTCGATCTCTTGACCTCATGATCCACCCTCCTCGGTTAATTTTTATTTTTAGTAGAGACGAGGTCTCACTATGTTGCCCAGGCTGGTTTTGAACTTCAGCTCAAGTGATCCTCCTGTCTCAGCTTCCCAAAGTGTTGGGATTACAGGCATGAGCCACTGTGCCTAGCCAGCACTTTGTTTTGAAGTGATCAGAAGCAAACTTCCTCACAAATAAGAAGTCTTAGGAATATATGAAGACTTTAAAGAAAAAGAATCCTGCACAAAGGTCTGTCTTCAGTATAAGTAATGACTGGTTTAGTGGCTACAACCTCTAAGTTTTCAACAACATTAAACTATCTGGTGAAGCTGTGAGTACTGTGCTAATGAAGCTGTGCCGACCTTTCACCATGTGTTTTTAAAAAGCTGACTACTCCTCAATTAGATTTTTAATTCTGAAGAAAATAGCATCTATTAAAAGTGAATGCCCTTGAGGATCGACATCAGGAAGGAGGAAGCATAAAGGCTGCCACGCATTGATGTTGACTGTGACGCTGGGTGCAAAGGCCAGTGGAGATTTATTTGCGTATTTTTATTAGGATGGTTGTTTTCATTAGTGCTCTGACTATAAAGTTGCATTGGATTTAAGTGGTCTTCTGTAACCATATTTTCCTGATAAGCCCTGCTACGTTAGGCGTGCAATTCTGCAAAACAGGAGATTCTTCGGTAAAGACAATATGACATTATAGCAGAATGTCTGGCATTTTTTTTTTTTTTTTTTAATCTGCAGGACATCTAGTCTGGTGTTAGCCATGTATTACATCCTTGGTAAATACCGGCTTATTCTTAGGCATCCTTTGATGCATAAACATTTTGCTGTGACCTTGGAGGTGGTTCTCATGTTTTTCAAATCTATGTTTCATCTATGAACGACGCAGACTGTTTAGATGAGAACACACCGCAGAAGGGAAACACAGAAAGTCACAGGGATACTAACAAGATGGTCAGAAATCCTCAGGGGTAATAGATGGCTCTAAGGTCAGTTTAAAGACAGGGCCCAGTAGCCTTTTATAGGCCTCTCCCAGGGCTGGCTTTTAAATGCTGATTGGGTGCCACAGTCATGAGAGGCCCGAGGGAGAGACCACAAGGTCAGTGGTTCTAACACATATTTTTGATATCCCAACTGATGGTGGTAGCCTCCTTCTTTCTTCAGCATTAAAGAAAAGACATCTTTCCCTCTACCAACTTATTTGTGTGACCCGGGAGGGTAAAAATAAAGGATTATAGATGCAGAGAGATCAGCTGTAGGACCATAACTGGTGAGGTGCTTGGTTTATAATCAGTGGACAAAGCGTCCTTACCGAAAGCAGGGGCTCCTTTCCTGTGTTAGTTTCTGCCAGGCTAGTGACCCTGAAGCCTGAAGGAAGGGTTTTTGCTTGTTTAAAACTACTGTTTACATTAACTGGTGCAAAATGCTGAAAAACAAACATGAAGAATTAAGACGGGCTGAGGTAACCACGATAAAGTCAAATGTAAACTGTATCAGGAACAAACTTTTTCACTTTTTGCAGAAAAGATTATGGATCTTTTACATGTACTTCTAACTGGTTATGAAATGTAGATTAACCTGGCCTGAGGACAATGAAACTCAACTTTATATTCAAAGTAATATCAATCCATTTTCAAGTCTATTTATACACTCCAAACAGAAGTCATTCATATCACAGTGGCCTCCTTATCCTGCTCTTCCACTTTTTATTTTTTATTTTTATGGAGACAGAGCCTCTCTGTCACCCAGGTTGGAGTAGAGTGGCATGATATCGGCTCACTGCAACCTCTGCCTCCCAGATTCAAGCCATTGTCCTGCCTCAGTTTCCTGAGTAGCTGGGATTATGGGCACCCGTCACCATGCCCTGCTGATTTTTGTATTTTTAGTAGAGACTGGGTTTTTCAATGTTGGCCAGGTTGGTCTCAAACTGCTGATCTCAGGTTATCTGCCTGCCTTGGCATCCCAAAGTGCTTGGATTACACACATGAGCCACCTCACGCAACCCCCTTTCGCTTTTAAAACAACGGTAATGAAACTTATTGGCTGGGAGCGGTGGCTCATGCCTGTAATCCCAGCATTTTGAGAGGCCAAGGTGGGCAGATTACCTGAGGTCAGGAGTTTGAGACCAGCTCGGCCAACATGGTGAAACCCTGTCTCTACTAAAAATACAAAAATTAGCCGTGTGTGGTGGCATATGCCTGTAATCCCAGCTACTGGGGAGACTGAGGCAGGAGGTTCACTTGAACCCAAGAGATGGAGGTTGCAGTGAGCTGAGATCGCGCCATTGCACACCAGCCTGGGCAACAAGAGCAAAAATCCTGTCTATATAAAAAAAGAAGCTTATTAACTAGGGGCCTTCACAATCTAGAACAGATAAGGATCTGTTCTGCTTCTTCCCCTGCCAAGAGTCTCCCCAGGTCCCTGCCAATTTCTTAACCACAGGGCCTCTGCACATGCTATTGTCATTTCCTTTGCCTGAATACCCTTCACTGGCCTTATTTGCCTTGTAATTGCTTAATACATTTTTGTTTAATATCTTTCCAAACAGCCTGGAAACTCCGTAAGAGCAAGCCATGTCTGTCTTGTTCACCACATTCTACACATGATACCTAGCACAGTACTAACACTTAGTAGGCTGTCAACAAATGTTAACTTGAATCAGACCCTTAAGACTCAGCTCAAACATCATCTTCTTTGGAAAAGTGTCCCTGAGCCTCTGACACTCCAATAGTTACCTCTCTCACGTGCTTCAAAGGCTGCCTGCTCACATCTGTTACAGTGCAGTGGAGTTCTTTAATGGTCTGTCTCTCCCAGTAGGCTCTGAAGTTCTAAAAGCCAGAAACTGTGTCATCTTCATCCTTCTTACTCATGACACTCTGTATCACCTAGTATACTCTAAGGAGCTGAAGAAATGCCTACTGGGCAGACTATTGAACCATGTTTGCACTTGGAGGGCCCTCAGCTATGGACCACACCTATGGCTCAAACAGGAATTACATGTAAGCATTGGCTAAAGAGGTCACATCTTTCTGAAGCATGCATTTAAACCCAATGTTCCAGGAAAGGAGACATTTATATAAATTGCGTGTGTGTGTGTGTGTGTGTGTGTGTGTGTGCGGTGACTTGAATTCAAAATATTCACTAAATGTTACTATAGTCACTAAATTTTAAGTGAAACAGGAACTTCAACAAAGCAAATTTACCATGGGTCTCCTTGTCCACCCTGTTTAGGAGCATGTATTCCCTCTTTGCTGTCCTTCAGTAGCTTGCCACCTTAGAAGTAGAAAAGTCACGCCTCCATGATTAAAAAGAAAGTTAATGACAATGACAAAGCTGGAATTAAAGTCTAGTGGTCTTTTCATTCTACTGCCCAAGTTAGCTGTCTCCTCACACCTACACCATGGTCAAATGCATCCTAATGCACTCTCAATAAATATGTTCAGATACAAATTCCATTCAGCATATTAAATTTAGCCTGAAGGGGAGAAGGTCAAAAGGAGTCATAGTCTGAAGATATCTTCAGTAATAGGTGTACGGCATGTTTATAGATTTCATATTACTTTATAGGTAGCTTTCCTAGCATATGTGCTCCTATTCTATGATGGTGGTTCATTCAAATCCTATCTACCCCCTCTAAAGTTCTCAGTGTGTACCTTTATTTTTAAAGGGCATCATTTAAAGAGGATAGGAGAGAAATACCGTGTGGGCACTATTTTGTCCTGAGGACAAAATGCTAGGTACAATGCAAGGACTAAAGACTATAGTTCCTACAGTGCCCTGCTGCTGCTGCTGCTACTGCACAAAAACACCTAGCATTTGTCTAGGGGTTTTCATTCATAACAAAGCTTTGACACACATGATCTTATTCACTCCCCACAACAACTCTAAACTAGTTTGGGAAACTGAAAGTAGCACTCCATTCAATTGCTAGCTGTATGTAAGTGTTTTGGTTGAAGAGCCTAACAACCCCCTAGGGATTATGGGAGCCTGCTGCTTCAACAACCCCGCAGCATGGGAATAAAGGAACAACTGTATTTCTTTGGTCACAAGGTAATCATGGCAACAGAAAGCACCCACCCTTCCCACTCTGACCCACACAGTCTGTCGAGGCAATTAATCAGCACTCCTGGTGGTTTTCCTATAGGATGCCAGTTCCCTTGCCAATCAAGTCTTTCCACAGAGTGTGGCGGGGCCACACCCCCGGAGAGGCCTCTGGGAGGGAAGGTGCTCTGGCCCACATGAGTGAAAGCTGATACTCTGGTTGACTCGCCAGTGAAACTTACAGGCGGATCCTCCCGGGCCTCAGTTTCCCTATCTCTAAAATGGGCTACCCCTTCTTTCTCTTGATTAGTTCCCTCCCTGTTCCCGCTGGGCCACTAGGAAGTGAAATCAGTGCCTAACCGCAGCTGAAAGTACTCTGTTAGGCTCCAGACGCCGCGCCGGGCATGCTCAGTTGCTGGGGCCGGCTCGGCTCCGGGAGTAGGAAGCAGCTTTGCGCGCCGGGGCTGCCGATGCGGGCACTTTGAAGAATCACGTGTGTTGAGGCCCTCTTAAAGAGATAGGCACCTACTTTTCCCTCCACCCTAAACACGCCCTGAGGGCGGCGGCGACCGTGGTAATTGCAACTGCTCAGGGGCAGGGCTTGCCCCAGCGCCGAGTAGTGGCAACTGCGTGGTTGCGTCTGGGGTGCCTGGGAGCCGGTAGTCCCGGGGGCCTGAAATCGGCAGCTTCCCGGGCAGACACACTCTCCCGCAGGAAGAGGTGCCGCCGAGTCAGCGCGGGGCAGCGTGAGCGCCCTGAGGTGCTTCCTCAGTTGAGGAGAGGTGGGGTTGCAGGGCACAGGTGACAGGGCCGGAGAAAGATGGAGCAGCCCGGGGCGGCGGCGTCGGGAGCGGGAGGCGGCAGCGAGGAACCCGGTGGGGGTCGGAGCAACAAGCGGAGCGCGGGGAACCGGGCCGCCAATGAAGAGGAAACGAAAAACAAACCCAAATTGGTGAGTGCTCCCGCAGTCCCCGCCGGCCTTAGGGACAGGGAGAGCCCCGGAATCCTCCTGTCGTTGAACACGGGGACACCCGGGGCCCCCTCCCAAGGGTGACCGCGACCTCGCTGTGCAACTCGGGGAGCCGCTAAAGGAGTGGCCACGCCGAGGCGCGGAGACGGCGTGGGGGCGGAAGAGCACCCCCTTCTCTACTTAACCCTTTTCTCACTCTAGTCAGCCCGGGAGGCGGTGCGGGAAGGAGAAAGGCCCAGCCCCAACTTGGGGACACCCCGAGTAGTGGGTAGGGCTGTTGTTTGTCTAACTTGTGGGCGCAAACCTTTGCGCGATTCCATTCTCCTCCCACCTCTTGTCAGTTGCTGTTTTGCCTCCTAACGCGTAGGGTTCGGGGAGGGGGAACCTCCCTGCTTTTTATTCCAAGTCCTTGGGAGCCCACCTACAGCCTTGCAAATCAAGAAGAACACTATTTAGGCTCCCAGGCTTTCTACTTTACCAGAAATCTCAGGAAGAGGCGCCTACGTGCGTTTTTCCTCCTCCTTGCCTCTCTCCATGTGCTCTCCCAAGAAACGTTTTTTTGGAAGGGTGGGGGCGCGTGGGAGTTGGAGGCTGGGTGAGGTACCACCAACTGTCGGGTGTGTGTAATAGGCATAGTCATACAGTACTTCCACTTAGTTGATTAAGAACGCTCAAAAGCAGTAGGCACAAACTGTGCAAATCTCACCGTCCTGATAGTGCGAACTGGTGGTAGCAGTCCATTTCCTGCCACTGAATGTGCAGAGGAATGAAATCGATGAGGCCTGGTATTGCATTGGGAAATACTGGAGTTTCCTCAGGTCATCAAAAGAGTTCCGCTTTTTGTAAACTTTCTAATTTGGGTGGTATGAGGGGAAAAGGTCTTCCTGTACAAATTCAGCAGATACTCCTTAGAGCTGGATTCTTAGTCCAGACTGAAGCACAAGCCACATGTTGCATGTATAGATTTAAGTTTTAACTAGCAACTTGATTATAATAGACAAGGAAGGAGAGGGTGACATAGAAATAAAGCCGTTTCTTATGGCATTTGGCCATTTGGTTTGGATCCAGTACAAAACTGTGGTTTAATCAGTGATTAAAAATTTAAGTAAAAAGTTAACCGATAGTTTCCACAAAGGGTTTAGTACATCTAGCAAGAATCTGCCACTTTAATAAGTGTGTTTTCTAAAAAAAACCACTCATCTCTGTTAGTAACAACACCTTGATTATATTCTTCTCTTCCGTTTAGTCTTTTGTCATGTTTCATCTTATATGTTTTACTTGCTTTGACAAGGTAACTAGATAGTTAGGAGATCATATCATTTTCAGTTCCTGGCTAACTGCACTGTTCCGTGTTGAACATAGCTTGATACGGTAGAACAAGTATTCGAATCCAAGAGTTTGTTAATATTAACACGAATTTTCTTTTTTTGCTCGGACATAACTTTCGAGCCTTACATGATTTTACAAGCAGATGTGTCAGAGTTAACACAAACAAATTTAGGAAGACATGGTAGCGCATTTTAAGGCAAGCACGTTGACCAAACAGTAAGATTTAGTAAACTTTTCAGGAAAGAATTTATCTGGGATTCTTAACAGTTTGCTAGTAAGATAAAACTTGACTTAGACGAAATTTTATTATTTTGAGTATTACGTTAATAATCTCTGAACTAGTCCTTAATTTGTGTGTGTATAAGAGTGTAAAGGAATTGTGGTATGGGATTATAAAAAAGAGCCATATGGTGATAGAAATTATTTGTGTAGGTGATCTTGGGCGATAGGGGTTCTTAAACTCATGAAATTGTATGAAAATATTTGAGTGTATGTGGGTACATTTATTTTTCTGGGCCCCATAGCTCTCATCAGTTTCTCAAAGGCATTCATTACCTATAGAAGAGTAAGAACTATGGCATTACAAAAGATATGGAAAAGATATGTAAAGGAAAGGACAGATGATTCCACTCTGTTACCAGATAGGGAAGAAGGGAAAAAAAAAATGGCATTGACCACACAGGTGATTGATATTGAAAGTAATTCTGGCGGTAAAAAAGAACTACACAATGTCTACATAGCTTAGATTAAAATTTCCACTACATAGGAAAATTAATTAAGTCGCTCTAGTAGCTTCATAAAGTATAAGGCTTGTGTAGTTCGGTTGTTTTCATTTAGTTCCTCAGAGTTCTGGAGAAACGGAAATGGAAAGCATATTTTCTATAGAGAGGAACTGCTTTCATTTATATCCTTAACTTTTTAATGAGTATTAGTGAGAACTTTTTCAGAGTGGCTTTTTCATTTCAACACTATAATGACTTCTATTTAAGATTAGTTAAATAAAAATTTGATGAAATTCACTTTAGTTTTCTTCATATAAACATCCTCATAATGACCCTTTCATTTTCATTCTTTTAAAATAAGGCATTCCTGTCTTGGACTCATCACATTTTGAATAATGCATTAGTAGTAGAGTTTGGATTTTATGTAACTATTTTGGTTAAGCCCAGATTGCAACATGTCATCAAACAGCATGAATCTTAGATTAATTTGTAATTTGATGTCAACCATGGAATGCATTTTGTTAAATTGAGTAGAAGAGAAAGCTCTAGAAGTGTTATGAAGGAACTACATCTTGAATCCCATTTATTTAAGGCAGTGACTTAACCATTAAGAGAGGCCAGGCCGGGCATGGTGGCTCATACCTGTAATCCCAGCACTTTGGGAGGCTGAGGCAAGTGGATCACAAGGTCAAGAGATCAAGACCATCCAGGCTAACGTGGTGAAACCCAGTCTCACTAAAAATACAAAAATTAGCTGGGTGTGGTGGAACGGAGGCTGAGGCAGGAGAATCTTGAACCCAGGAGGTGGAGATTGCAGTGAGCTGAGATTGCACCACTGCACTCTAGCCTGGGCGACAGAGCGAGACTCCATCTTAAAAAAAAAAAAAAAAAAGGAGAGAGGCCAATCTTGAGGCAGAACACTGCATTCCGCACACCAGACGGTAGTGTAGAGTGACCTAACAGTATCTCATGTTTTTGCATTTTGACTCTGTGTTTCTGCAGAACACTGCATTCTGGACACCACACGGTAGTGTAGAGTGACCTAACAGTATCTGATGTTTTTGCATTTTGACTTTGTGTTTCTGTATAATTTTGAAGCCTTTAGTTCTTCAAACAGTAAAGTCAAATGAGTTAGTTTTTCTGGTTATTATGTAACTTCCTATTTGGTTATTTGTTTACAACTGGATAAATTATGTTTTGATTTTTTTTTTTTTTTTTTTTGAGACACAGTCTTGCTCTCAGCTTGCCCAAGACTGGAGTGCAGTGGTGTGATCTCAGCTCACTGCAACCTCTGCCACCTGGGTTCAAGATTCTCCTGCCTCAGCCTCCCAAGCAGCTGGGATTACAGGCATGCGTCACCATGCCCAGCTAATCTTTTTTGTATTTTTGTAGAGACAGGGTTTCACCATGTTGGCCAGGCCGGTCTCGTACTCCTAACCTCAGGTGATCTGCCTGCCTCGGCTTCCCAAAGTGCTGGGATACAGGTGTGAGCCACCACACCCAGCCTTGATTTTTAATGGTAAGGTATGAGCGACAATGATTTCATTTAGGCAACACAGGTTTACTGAGTACCTACTGTGTGCTAGGCACAATTTTAAGAGTTGGAGACACAAAGATACTTGTAGTCTACTGAGACAGACAGGGAACTTAATTGATGATTAAAACACAATGTGAGCCAGATGTGGTAGCTTGTGCCTGTAATCCCAGCTACACAGGCTGCTAAGGCAGGAGGATTGCTTGAGCTCAGGAGTTTGAAGCTGCAGTGAGCTATGACTGTACCACTGTATTATAGCCTTGGTGACAGAGAACCCATCTCTTTAAAGAAAAAGCAATGTGATAAGTTGCTATAGGAATATGCATGGTGGTGGTGGGTGGTCATGGAGAGGCATCTAGTAGAATTGCATGCTAGAGTAACAAAAGGCTTATAGTGGGTGACATTTGCAGCAAGGCTGAAGAAAATAGGTAAGGCATTCTAGGCTGAAAAAACAACATATACAAAGGTAAACAGATAAGGGAGCATACCCAAAAAATAAAGTTCACTTGGATGAATATGGCTGAAACAAAGGGTACACTTGGTAGACTTGGTAGAAAAGAGATGGGGTCCGGATCATGTTGGATCTTGTGTACCCTGTTAGAGTTTCAACTTCTTTCTGAAAGTAGGGGTAAGTCATTGAAGAAATCAAAGTGGAGAATGACCTGGTCAGATTTGTGCTTCAGAAAAAAACTTTGGAGAATTTCTTGGAAAGGCATGCTAGAATGGAGGCAGGAAGGTTAGAAGGAGCAGAGTGGCATAAAAGAGTTTTTGGCCGGGCGCGGTGGCTCAAGCCTGTAATCCCAGCACTTTGGGAGGCCGAGGCGGGTGGATCACGAGGTCAAGAGATCGAGACCATCCTGGTCAACACGGTGAAACCCCGTCTCTACTAAAAATACAAAAAAAAATTAGTTGGGCATGGTGGTGCGTGCCTGTAATCCCAGCTACTCAGGAGGCTGAGGCAGGAGAATTGCCTGAACCCAGGAGACGGAGGTTGCGGTGAGCCGAGATCGCGCCATTGCACTCCAGCCTGGGTAACAAGAGCGAGACTCCATCTCAAAAAAAAAAAAAAGAGTTTTTGATATTTAGAGACCTGGATTCCAGTTGCAGCTCATCCATCCATCCATTTACCAGCTCATCCATTTACTAGGCGTTTTTCTCTGCACCTCAGTTTCCTTCTGCCACCTCTGTTGCCTCTCCTTAGTGCCACCCACCCTGAACATCCCCACCAAATCTGAAATGTCCACCCCTTTCTCTTTTATAACTTTCACCCCCTTTCACAGCCCAGCTCATGCCTCAATATTCTCTCATTCTTCCATTAAACCTTCGCCGATTACTTCAGTTTAGTGAGGGCTTTGCTTCTTCTGAACTCATAACTGTCATGAGTCTAAATGTTACAT